GTGTGTGTGTGTGTGTGTGTGTGTGTGTGTGTGTGTGTGTGTGTGTGGCATTTAAATTAATTTCATTCAAAGTTTAAAATACCTATTGAATCTACATCTGATGGCATTAGCATTTTGTGACGGATCAAAATCGTCCCTTGTTTTGACCTCAAATGTTCAATGTCTCGATGGGGCAAGTGTTAGTTTGGGCTAGCAGTAAGTTGATTATTTTGTTGACAGGGCAAACGATGGATTTGAGTAAACTTACTCAGAAGAAGGTTGCTGTCTGATTGAGATACGTGCGGTAAGATTGGCAGAAGACAACCTTGAAGGCGGTAAGAGTCACGGGACGTAACTTCCACGATCGTCCGCGTCGAGGAACCGACCGTTTTTCCGTTTTTCTACCCTCTTGATCGGTCAATCAACTGTGCTTTAGCGAATCATCCTAACTTGGATTATAATTTTCCTCCCTGTTCCCAGCCATCAATAATGTAGGAGATTATGAGACTTGTGTGAAGGCGTTCGTTCCTGCATAACCGACAAGACGCCAATGCAATGGCAATTTACTGCCTCACAACTTTCATTCAAAATCGATAGTCAATTAGTTTTTACCCACACCATGTGTCGACTTTCAATAATTTCATGCGCATTAATGCGATCTCACAAAATCCCTCCGATATGTTGAAGTTTTTTTTATTATATCAATCGATGTAGATTTTTTTTCTGTCCGTGTGTTGGGACGCGTGTCTGTCGACGTATTTTCATGTTTAACCTAGCGATCATATTGCTTTCAAAATATTTTGATGAAATTTGATACTTTAACTGCTTTTGACCCTTTGTGAAGACGAGCTCTATTCAAACGGAATTGGATCGGATGTTTTTAATCATGCCAAACTATGTCGAGCAATGCTTTGTTTGAAAACAGGCATTACGATTGTCTAATAGTTGATGTTGTTGTACTACAAATTATTAATCGGTTTTTTTCGCAGTTGCTGATATGCCGAAAGAAGACGTTCTCCATCATTTAGATTCATGTGTTGAATTTATTAGCTCTGCTCGGATTACTGGTCATAATATTCTCGTTCATTGGTGAGTATCTTGCGGTGCGGTGCGGTGCGGTGCGACGCGGCGCAATACATTAACATTAAAAAATAAAAAAAAATTTTTTTTTTTTTTTTTTTTTTTTGCAGTTATTTTGGTGTAAGTCGTAGTTCTACGGCTGTTATAGCTTACATCATGAAATCGCATAACTTAGATTACCAGACTGCTTTCGAACTAGTTAAATCGAAGAGACGCTTTGTTCAGCCTAATGTGGGTTTTGCAGCACAATTGAAGTTATGGCGTCGCATGGGCTGCACAATTGATAATCATTATCAGAAATATAAAATCTATCGTTTGCGCTTAGCAGGTGAACAAGTGCGTAAAGGTAAAAGGAAATTATTTTAAAATTTTAATTTACATTTATATATGTTAATTATTTCTACGCGAAACGCAAAGCATAGGATTTTTCATAAAGTGCGCTCCCAAATGTATCTAGTTTTCAATAACGCGTCTATTTCTGCGTTAAGTCATCTTGTTAAGGTTGTGCATATTCAGCAGTTCTTGTTTATCTAATTTGTCCCAAAAAAAAAAAAAAAAAAAAAAAAAAATGCCACCAACTTGTAGAAAATAATTTATGTCATCAGCAAATTCACCGCAATATTCTCTTTCAGTCCATGCGTTATCGTTTGTTCTCGCGTCTACTGCAAAGTATCTAAATAGAGTTTAACTACAGATATTTGATAAAATATTCATAATTAAACGACTATTTTCGACCAGTTGGAATCTTAAGGGAAATCAGACGGAATGACACTATCAAATATCAAAAAAAAAAAAAAGTAGATGAAAACAAAGGCACAAAATTGGAAAGAGTATCTATGATGAGATAGATCGACGCGAGAGATATTCCTGCCGGGTATACAATATAACTTATAAATTATTAAAGTAAAAAAAAAAAAAAAAAAAAACGACCAAAAGGGTTTAGAATGGAGCATCGCACTATGAAAGTCCTGTATGCGGATGCAACACAATGCTTATTATTATGGACATATATATATATATATATATATATATAAACTAGGAGAAGTCGATATCTTACTGAATTTTTGTTTTAAATTCCTTACTTGTAGCTAAAATTCTTCCACAAAGCTTTAGCAATATAATTAAATCTGATCCAGCTATAACGCAAGAGAATCCTGAACCTATAGTTTATCGTTGTCGTAAATGTCGACGTGTCTTGGCTTCCAAATCTCATGTGCTTACGCATATGCCAAAAATCCAAATTAGCTCAAGTACAAACGGTACAAATAATGTGACAGATAATCAAAAGCAATCAGCCAAACTAATGGAACAAATTCCAACACAAGCACGTAAAGTATCTTTAACAGCAACATCGACATCCAACTCAAATGGCCAGCTATCGGTGATGGCATCGCCAGAAAGGATTGACCTTAACAAATCTATAGAGCATTGTCAGAATATATTATTTGTAGAGCCGATTGCTTGGATGAGGCATATCGTTACTAGTACGCAGGGCAAGTTAAATTGCCCTAAATGCGAACAGAAATTGGGTAATTTTAGTTGGATTAACGGTAGGTGAGAAATGAATTTTTATATATATATATATATATACGTTTTTAATATGCACATCTATCTATATATATTCATGTAAACTATAATAATGCGAATAGGATGCCAGTGTCCATGTGGCGAAGAAGTCTCACCAGCTTTTTACTTAATACCCTCCAAAGTAGAACTTTCAAAGGCTGTTCAAAATGTGCAAACTACTCTATAGATACGTGTATTATATATATATATACTATAAAGGCATACATACATACATACATGCATACATACATTTATAACTATTGATATGTTCATATTAACACATACTATACGTATTTAACTAAGTCAACGTTGTTTGTGTGTTTAGTTAGGAATCAATGTTATTTATTATAAATGTAATTATTATTATTATTATAAAAAAAAAAAAAAAAAAAAACGAAAACCAAAAAAAAACCTTGATGTTTAATAGTAAAATATTTTCTAAGAAAGTTCTCTTGTAATAACTGGATTTTTTCTAATTCTTTTGTATTAATAATAAATTTGCAATTATTGCTTATTAATGTCATTTAGCAAACATGTAGTTTACGTAATGAAATGAAAGCGGCCAGGCAACGTTTCAGCGATTCTAACCTTCACATAAGTGCTCACATTTAGTCCAGATATTTTTCGGTGGATTGAGTGCCCCAGAGCAGTGTTCTAACGACCGAGACTTGATAAAATTTTTCCATGGCTAAGAATAATTCAACTAATATATATGCTGGTGACCCTGTTATCCTATTTTCATCTAATGAACCCACGAATATTTCCTACGTGGGTGCAAATTCATCCCAAATAAGGCTTCTTCTCCTTGACTATTGTCGAAGTGCGTAAAATTTTTTACACCCGCTTATCGAAAATCCTATGAAAGCTAAACGCCAAAGACTTGATTTAAAAACCAAAAGACTGCATTCGGCTAATTCGTCCAGAATTTTACCTGAACCTAAAAAATGCACTTGACTCTTTTTTTGCACGATATATAAATCCCTTGGAAAATGGTACAAAAACCAATTGTGTGAAAAATACATGCGACATGGGTAAGATGAGAATATTCAAAATATTTCCCCCCCCAAAAAAAAATTTGCAAAACAAATACATATTTATAAAATAAACACACTTCACTTTTATTACAAAAAAAAAAAAAATTAAAGAATTAGTGTACAGTGAAAATTCAGTCCATGTAGATATGCAAATTGAAGTTAGAAATAAAAATCAATTTTGCAGATATCGCAACATCGTTACTTAATAACAAATATGCTCGTTTTATGGCGGACCGGATTTGAGTGGATATGTCAGACATGTCCAAAATCACGGTCGGGATTGATTCCAACGAACTGAACGTTTTATAGCAAAATAAATACCAAATAAGAAAGTAGAGAGTAGAAGTAAAGTATAACGGGATAAAGAAAAAAGTGATCATAACGTTCGGGGTATTGTTCACAGCAGACCAAAATCATTAACATATGTGTGCATACATAAGTTCCTATGAAGCCGCCAGAATTAGAATTTAAAAATCCTTTTTGTTTGCGACTCGTATTAGAAAAGTACACTTATTCTTATTCGTGAACCGTGTTATTTCAAAATGGGGTAAAAAAATATCATGTAATTTGAGATGAGATTTGTGCGTACACGTATTTTAGACAAGAGTGTATTTGTGCTTATGGCGAGCAACTGTGAGAAGTCTGCCTGCTCCCCTCTAATACTTAAGTACGCCAAATATATTAGCCCTTCGTCTTAATGGTAATACGTCATAGTTGGCAATATCTCTTCTAGTTGAACCCATTGAGGTGTGTAGATTGAAAAGGCATGATCATCACCTACTGGATCTTTCGTTTAGCAATTAATTAATTTTTATTTCTCGAATTATTTTAATAAATCCTCTAATTTTATTAGAAATAATTTCTTTTCATTTATTTAAACATCACCTCCATATTACTAGATTATGCTCATTGAGGGACAATTATCTCCTATCGTCACGCTTATTATTGCTTTGGATGGATTATATAAATTGAATATGAAAAAAAAAAAAAAAATAAAATTTAACATACGAAGAACAAACTCCCAACAAACCTATAGATGTACAGAGTAGCAAAGGAAGAAATGTAATTAAAGGCGTGGCTATTGGCAAATAAGAATATATTAATACGAGCCGATTTCGACGAACAATTTTCGAATATTGCATCAGGTTGCAGCTATCATATAAAATATCATTTTTGCTTGGTTGATTTGGGTACGGTTTTTACCAATTGCCTACATGTAAAATCATACGCCATGGATTCCGACGAAATTCATCCAATTTATTACTGCTTTAGATGGTAGTAAAGGAGGAGAAGGAGCGATGCATAGCTATTGCATAACGAAATGGTAACAACTTTACAATGTGACTGTAATCTAATGTATAGTTGCATCACTGTTAGTTAGTGGACTCTTAGTGAAAAGATCAGATAATCTCTAACCAATGGCTACACTACGATCTTTGTTATTGTAGTAGAGAGTATATTAAGTTGTGCGGATGAACTACATTTCCTGGCAGATTGGCGCCTAATATTCATCGATGAACAATTCGGAATAATATAAAGGTGGCTGAAATTATCATTCGATTATCGGAAGCAGGAGAAGCTTTTCGCGCCGCGTCTCTAATTGCTTTTTTGGACCGTTTAAAGCATTCGCGATAAATTTTTGTGGCCGATCTAGTGATATAGAAAATAAATTTATACGTTATTCCTTGATTTCGAAGCTGACAAACTAGCCGTCTTTCCCCTTTGCTGCATCACGACGTTGCTCGACCTTTCTTATATTATTATGATAAGAATTAATCTACAGTGCATTTCCTTTTCATGTAATACGATGTACCTTCACAAACCACTTAATGCAGCGAATTATTACGAAACACTTCACTTTTCATAACTTTTAAAGAGGACGCGCCTATTTCACTGGCCTTATGAACGAGCTACTAAGTAACACAATAGCTCTTAAATTATTATTGCAAGAATTGGCTCACCTGGGATTCCCGCAATTAATTTTAAACAGTGCTGCGACATGTAAAAACGTTGTGTGGCCCTTGTTATAATTTCCGCGATACAGAAGTGAAAAATACACTTCGCATCTTTTTTTCGATGCACCTGTGCATGTAACATTCAGAGCATGACTTGAGACTGATACGGCGTTTATTATGCTAATCGATTCAAAATCACTTTCTGAAATGACTTAAGCTTGTCGATCCGTCTGCCCATGTATTCTTGAATTGAATCATTTTTTTGATCGCTTACCACATTATATTTTATTTTAAAAAATTTTGATATCAATAACTATAGGATGGTTTAAGAAATTTAATACTAGGACTTCACGTATTATAGGGATTTTACTTGTGTGATTAAGGAAAGCGAACGTTTCTAAATCGTAATCAAAATCGCAGTAAATTAAATTTCGCGAAATTTGGGTAAATTGATGCTTACTTTTGCTTACCACATTTTCTCATGTTATCGTTCATTCATAAAAAAAAAAAATAAATAAGTAAATAAAGTAAAAAACATACGCGCACGTAATATATTGAAATTATTTTATTATTTTTATGATTTTATTTAAAATTTAGTCAAATTTTTTTTTTTCTTCATTTTAATTTTCGTTTTTTTTTTTTTTTTTTTTTTTTTACGTTTTAGAACATTTGACCTTCGGTAAATAATATTTAGTAAGAGGGATAGAAATTTGAGTTATTTAAAATTGATACTTTTAGAAATATTATTAAATATTTTAAGAATTTTATATAAAATTGATGACTTTTTGAATATATTTCTCAAATATGCATATGTATATATATATATATATATATATATATATAAATATATATATATATATATATATATATATATATATATATATATATTCAAGCTAAATAATGGACTATAAGAATCGACATATATTTTAATAGTAATAATCATAATAAGATATCAAATATCTGAAGCTGAGGTAAAAAACAACGAATTAAATATACCGAAATGAAAAAAACAAAGAAAAATATATAAATGATAATGTTTCAAAACACATCTAAGTTGCTTTAGATGAAAAAAAAAGTTTCTTCCGTTTTGTACATGTACAGTAAAGAGTAACTTTTTCATGTTTTTCCTTTTTTTTTTTTTGTTTTTGTTTTTTGTTTTTTTTTTTTTTTTGCTTTTTTCAATTTCATATATTTTTGTAATAAAACGTGTTTTGCATAATGCGTTATTATTAGAGAAACCATAGAATATAATTACGAATATAATAATAAATCAATTAAAGGATTAGAATAAAAAAAAAAAAAAAAAAAAAAGTATTATTAATAATAATAATAATAATAATAATGATAATAATAAAGAAACAAAACAATCACCTCGTGTGTAACTCCTTTAAATAAACATTCTCACCATAGAGGAGGTAGATGAGAGGGAAAGAGAGAGTTGAGATGAGATGAGGTGAGTTGAATTGAGTTGAGTTGAGTTGTAATTGGTGTTTAATTTTGATTTCTTTTTTCTTTTTTTTTTCATTTTAAACACACACGTCGGTCATTTTGCGCCATCGTTGTTCTTGTTTATCTCTCTAATTACAGTTAAAAGAGAAAGTTCTTCATGTTGTTGTTTTTTTTGTTGTAAGTTACCTGTGCGTGCGCGCATTTCAAGTAGGAGGTAGTAATTTGTATACTGATAACTCTGATTCGTTGATTATTACTGTCTTTAGCGGGCTCTCTTCCTCTAACGGCTCGTATGATATTTAAACTAAAAATGTTTAACAAAATAGTTGCAGATCAATGAAAAAGTTTACTTAATTTAATATAAAACATAAATTATAACTAACTCACTTAACAACAATTTCTTATATTTAAAATTTTAATTTATCAATAATAAAATCGTTTCGTGTAACTATATATATATAGATATATATATATATATATATATATATATAGAGAGAGAGTTATTTACATCTCACTTAAAAAAAAAAAGAAACATTTATTGAAAACGGTTTTTAGTAGGAGGCAGAATATGGAAGAATAACTTAATTGATATTTTTTTAGGCTAGTGGCTAGCGAAAATATACCTGAAATCAGAGATGGCGGAGATTTCATTAATGCGTGTAAGAGCTGCTTCTCATTAAAAATATGTCTAAACTGCATCTACGAAATTATAGGAAAAGGCATAATTTAAACATTTTTCATATGAAAAAAAAATGCGATTCTGCGTCAAAAAAAAAAAAAAAAAAAAAGAAAAAACAAATCAAATAAATGGTAGTTAACTGAAAGTTGCAATTTACACTTCTCCTCTCGATCTCAGTAGAGCAACGATATGGAAAATTAAATGTGAAAAATCAAATCCCGTTTTGTAGCAAATTTTTGATA